TCTGTTAACACTACACCAATCATCTGTTAACACTACACCAATCATCTGTTAACACTACACCAACCATCTGTTTACACTACACCAATCATCTGTTAACACTACACCAATCATTTGTCAACACTACACCAACCATTACTCAACACTACACCAACCATCTGTTAACACTACACCAATCATCTGTTAACATTACACCAATCATTTGTCAACACTACACCAATCATCTGTTAACACTACACCAACCATCTGTTAACACTACACCAACCATTACTCAACACTACACCAATCATCTGTTAACACTACACCAACCATCTGTTAACACTACACCAACCATCTGTTAACACTACACCAATTCTTTGTCACCATCCCATAATCAATTAACTTGACAAAACAATTGACAAAACTTGAAATAATTTCAGCTATATATGTAAATAGTTTATGTTATTATGTCACAATGCAATCTACAATTGTGTTATGCCATTTCATTATCGAAAAACGACATCACAATAGCTTCACTTACATGTGTAGTAAACATCAAACTATGTAATAAAATTGTTAATGGACTACATGTACATGTGGGTGGTGGATTCCACCCCTGAGAAAGATTTCATGCCAAATACATAACCACTGACCCTCTAATTTATCAGACACAATAGATCTGATGCAAGTAATGTATGCTATGAGCAAGTTATGGCCAGACTCCAATTTGTCTCATCACACCTGGTATTAACACTCTCCCAGCTATTACTGCCAGATCTTGTATCTCCTAACACCAGCACATCCTATACTACAGCACATTACACAACTGCCTATGGGGAGACAAGGTTAGTCACCGATCCTCACAACAACTTCTGTAAAAACGAGATATTTCATAGTGATAAATAGACTTCATAATTTCTAAAATGTTTGCAAAAAACTACTGGAAATGTTGTAAGTGTCAATGATCTGACATAGCCATAGAAATTTCTAATTTCATTCAAGTGAAATCTTGGCTCAATTTCAATAAGTCTCAATCAACTAAAAGTTATAATAAGAAACATCACAGAGATGGTACAACAAAATATAATTTCACTAATTTCACTATTCATTTAAGGACATCAATACCTTATCTACAGGGAAACATTAAACCCCATCAATTATTGGGACAATGATATGGGATTTATAAATGCGTTTGTTGTTTTTTTTCCAGAAAGCAATTTCTCTAATCCTGTTATCCTTCCTCTTTCATTTTCCACATATATGTACCAACATAAATATCTATGTACAATACATGTGACATATGTACTGTAGACCTATTAATTTCCGTGTAAACTAGTACTGCCACAAGAGGTTTTATATTGTACAAAGCAACGTTCATAGGACAAGTCGTCTATTTAACTGTATAGGCACTGGACCGTATCAGGAGGATAACCAATCCACAACACTTGACAGACGTTTCTCCCAATAATTGTCAATACTCGTCGAGGAAATGAAGTCACAATACAACACTTCTAGCACCACTCGTGTTTCAATTCATGTCAAGTCAATTACAAGGACCACTAAGATTAGATATATAGAAGTTTTTAAAACTATTACATATAGAATCTATCAGAATAATTTTTAACATATCTATATGTGAATAGCCATGAGGAAATATAAACTTGACCTGGAAAAAACCCACTTTACTTCTAGATTGAAGGACAATTATACAAAACACAGGAAGTCCTTAATGCGTCAAAAACCTAAAATCTAAATAACAAAAACTTCTTGTCTCTAAGTTAATCATATCATACAACATTTTTTTTTTCAATTCTTGGATGATGCGTTTTTCCTCTATCTTTTCATCTAAATAGAACAATATTGGACTTGATAAACTTTCCTCAAAAACAGTACAAAACTGTGCATAAGGCCAATGATGAAAAAAAACTGTTGTATTGACTGGCAAATAAAATACTGCATTTATATAAAGGTCACTGCATTTATATAAAGGTCACCTATCTATAAGAATCACTTTGGTTGTGTCTTTTGAATGACCTTTATAGATAGGTTAAACTGTTTCTAATACTTTTTACTATGTAATTCTACACACAGTATGAATGCCTTTATCTACAATTACATTACATCTAGACTAGTTGCCTGAGTCACCACCAGTACTGACTCACTAGCAGGTTAACATGTTGGATCACAATATACTGGACTTGTGGTATATCATCATGTGACCCTCTATTACCTATATCCTGCAGGACACATTCGGTCAGTAATCTCTAATCACCATCAGTTATAGCTTACATCTATTCTTTGGTCAATATATTGTTTTCATTGGCAATATAGCACATCTTCCATACAGATTATTTAGAGAAAACAAATACATTCAAATTACAAAAAAAATTAGAAAGAGTGTAGAAATCTGTTTAAAGTTTTAAGAACAGAGGGACAGACCAACTGTGATTTAATATATACTTCAAACATAACACAACATATTTGTTCTTATGGGACATATAATAAACCTAGTCATGTTAAAACATACAACCAAAGAAAATCAACGACATCAATCACAGTTATATCCTTACTAACAGTACAAGTATTGTTGACTATCTAAATATGTACCATTTATTGATCTCTAGTTCCATGTGGCTCCATACTGCATAGCGATTTATATTTTTATAACCTTTTGTGAGAGCAGAGCATAGTAAAAAAAATTACTTACTTTATGATTATTGATATCATATCCAGATTATAATGATAAAATAAATATATATGTATGTTATTCAACACATGCATTGTACTAAATGTATTTGACACATTTTAGAACTAATATTTACACATTTTGAAGTTTCTGGTATCTCAAGCAATTATACTGATATTATTGATTCATCAATTATCTAGCTGGAGTCCTAAATGTTTCTCTTTTGCTCTTAAATATTCTACATTATGGATGATGTAAACACTGATGATAATAATGTGAATCATTATATTTGTGATGTAGTGTACAAAATTTCAAACTTTCTTCATTTTGATGTGATATCCATCTATTTCTTACATGTTCAGCTTTACCTAGATTTTAGCTTCACCGTGATCAAAAATGCCATCAATGAAGACAAGGTGCTTAAACAAAATTACCAAGAATCAATTAAGATACAAACATGCTATCTGTATAGTGTGGGAACTTTGTTGTGTCCTGTAAAACCTGACCAGTTTCATAACCAAATCGCCACTCATCATGTAAATACTAGTTTAAGTCATCCTACTATGAATTTAAGTCGTTTAACAATATTGCCATTGTCCTGGTCTCATCGATTTCAAGTTTGTTTTCTATTCTGTTTTCAGAACTCAGAAAATGAGTAAAGTTGTCATGTGCTATTTAGAATACAATGTACATGTACTATCACAGTCTATAGTTTGTACTGGATTACATACCAGTAAACATCAAGGCAATATATAAATAAAGTTTTAAGTTTGTAAAATGGAAACCTTTCTTGAATAATTCTTTCACTTAAATATATATACCATGCCATACTTAAATGTGCTATAGGATGGTAACAATAATGAATGTTTTATAAGATATACTATATATTATCCATATACTGCTGTATGTATTAGATATCAAAATTTCATTCAGATGAAATAGTCCTAGAATTTGGATTAAATATTGGGTACATTTAATCAGCTTCAAGGGAAACAAGGAAATATATGTATTCATCTTACAGGAACAGTACAATTACAGTGTACATTTTTATCTTACCTATGAATATGGACAAACTCTGTCACTCCTTTGTGCAAAATGAAAATGTGTGAGACAAAAGTGCTTTAGGAAGATGACATTACCATTCCCTCCAACCTCCCTCAAAACTTCTAACGGTATGATTTGCATGCATCTCATAAAAGACTTTGTTTACCATTTGAAATTTGAAACTTTTATTGATTGAGCCTATTTTTCCTATTATATTTACAAAATGTCTTTCAAAAAAAATCAAAACATCAAACATTATAAGCTATATGCTCATTTGCATACATGTACAGAGATATGATACAGCTTTTCAAGGGACTGTTATCATAAACTGAAATTATATGAAATATTTGTTGTAAGTTTTTGGTCTAGAAAGGCATTTGCCACCTGATTAGTGGGGGCTGGGTCACTTCATATTAAAAAGACTGAATGTTGCACCCATAAATGTATGCCTGCTAAACATAAATTTTTGGAGATATGTGCTCTAGAACCTGCCTTGTACATGTAGAATGAACCTGTCTGGATCATACATACATCACTATATATGTGCGTATGTGTAACAGATCTAGATTCTCAATCTGCGAAATGATGAGAGTTCAAGCAAAGTGTAAAACAGTTACAGACATGAAATTAACTGCAACTTGTTATCTCCAACAAGACACTTTTTAATACCTTTATATATTGACTTTAATAATGAGGTGATGTAGTTACGTTATGATTAGCTGTAGATCATTATTCAAATTCCACTTCACATCAACAAATTACTTCTAGTATAAAAAATTACATATAAATGCTGTTTGTTGTGGTACTTCGACTGGCATAGTGTAGCTCGAGACTCTTGATGGATGCTTCACCAATTAACTGATACCTGTTTATTGGTAATAACGCAACATCACTGAACCTCAGCAGCGTTTACAGCTACATCACACCAGCTGGCCATCCAACACAAAAATAATCATGGATCATTGAAAATGTTAAACTTACCAGGATTTAAATTTTTATGACTGTATTACTCTTTTAAAGGCAATAAAGCAATTTCATTCAGTTTTATTATTGTATTCGGCACACTGAACTGTAACATTTTAGTGAGTTTGACTTCATAATATTATGTATCTTTTATAATCCACGTCATTCAAAAACATTAAATCCTCTAACAACTTTAGTAAGGAATGTCCTCAATTGTTTGGTTTCAGCTGTAATTTCACATTAAGACATATGGATTAAATATACGTACATAGTGGTCAGTGCTAACATTCAGATTTTGACAGTAGGAAATATACTCTGAAAAATGCCCCACCTTCCCAAATTCTGATCCGCCATTTGCTTCACACGGAGGAAATTCTTCCTCAGATTCTCCCGTTTCAACATTGTGTCGTTTTATCCTGTACACTTCCGTCGAATAAAGTCAACTTAAAACCATCGGTTTCAGTACTTCATCGGCATTTTCTGTGGAGTGTCATTTTCACTTCAGACCACAGGCGACAGACATGTTCTTCCTATGATTGACAGAAGTGTTTTGATTGGTTGACAGTGAAACTATCAACCAATGATATTCCTCGTGTCTTCTGTTGTAGGAAGTAGATATTGGAACATGGCAGACCTCGTGGAGCAGGTGCTTCAGAAGGAGATAGAAAAACAAGCAAAGTATAAAACTATTGAAGTTACCAAAGATGTAGATCTCGAAATCGACGAGGGAAACTTGCTTGCCGTTGATACAAATCCATTCGACATAAGACATCACAAGTGAGATATGGTTATTTAACTAACATCCGCTGTAACCCAGTAGGCTAACAGTAACACACACTAATCTCATTTAGGCTGCATTCACGTAACCTTGTTGAAACGGGCGCGACGATTTACCCAAATTCACCCAAATACACCCCAATACACCCAAATATTTCACAAATATACCCAAATACACCCCAATACACCCAAATCTTTCACAAATATAGCCAAATCTTACCCAAATATACCCCAATATACCAAAATTAAGCCAAATCTTACCCAAATATAACCCAAATATACTCAAATAAAGCCAAATCGATTTACAGGAACGTGCCGTAACGGGCCCTGTATTATCAGGGATGTGTATCTGTTATATATACGTTTCTGGTATTATATTTTATTACTAATAAACGATATACACATGATCAAATAGAATATCTTTGTCTAATTTTAGCTTCCATTTACTAAGGCAATTCATATAAATTCTGTAATACCATATAGGCTAACGGGCAAAAACGGACAAAAATGAAGCGGGAACGAATTTGGGTAAGATTTGGGTATATTTGGATGTATTTGGGTATGTTTTGGCTTTATTTGGATGTATTTGGGTATATTTGGGTACGTCGCGCCGGTTGAAACAGTTTAGGTGGTCTGGAATTATTTCGCCATACACAAACCCAGTTGTACCGGAAATTTAATCTGATATATGTAAAACTCCAAATGCACAGTTTCAGAATTTCCAGTTAAGCATAATTCAATTAACTAAATTAAGATACCGTCCAGTTCACTCATACTTTACAGCACAGTACTCCCTCAAATATGTGAGTGCACGACCTTTGATGCTGAAATTCTGAAAACTACTCAGCAAACTTATTTTGGACAGGGATGGCTGGACCTCATACTGCCAGATATTCTGTAGTCAAGTATCTGTCCCGATCTGTACCTGGCTTATTTTTTTGCGACTTCATCCAGTCCAACCGTTTCAACTACTTATGCAAAAGCACCCTTAATCACTACAAAATGTCACCCATTTGTCCATGAATATCACTGCCCCAGCCTTGATACATTATTCACGTGAAATTGTTGTGATATGGTGACAAAGTTGTTGATGGTAGATATAAGACACTACATTTTGTCACTTTACATTTCATATTTGTACGGTACATCTTTGAATGAAACTAACTGGAAGTTATGGCGAATGTCAGACATTTCGCCCCAAAGTTGTTTTGCACCTACATCAGGTGGTTTGCACAAAATTGAATATTAAGATGTTATGTTTTGCCTCCAATGAAAAATACTTGTATCAGTTGTGGAGAAAAATATGTATTTGCCCGAATTGTTATATCAAATAGTATCTGTTAAAAGAATGTTTTAGAGACTAAAATAATTTTAGGTTTTTAAAATGTATGTGTCTGCCTATTTACTGCCAAGCTTGGTATTGCCTTTAAGAGCCTAATGGTGTTTGTACAGATTGATGGGAAGCCACCTATTTTGAAAGTGTAAAACCATGTAATTTTTTCATATACCATTGTTTTGATAAAGAAATATTACCATTAATAATGTGGACACATGCCCGCTTTTTGCAATACGAGCAGCATCCAAATCATTGTTTTCAAAAGAGAAGATGAAGCGTGGATGGAAATCGGGTGTACTCATAATGAGACTTTTGATGTTTTAAATACAATCAGTACACAGATGTATAAGTGATGGCTACTCAAGAGATTGACATTTTCATTTTCAACCATGTCGTGGTCAACACGGAAATCATTTGCAGGAAATAGCATGCTTTTGCCTGCGATACCTGTCACAGATGGAACCATCAGACTCAAACACTGGTAAGTTGAATCTTAATACATGTTAGATATATATTTGATATTAATTTAGAATTTTCATACATGTTGTATATTTGTTGATATATTTTAATTTTGATGGATGCTAGTTTTATATGTATTTCATACAGCTACTTTTAATAAATCTTATATATAAGTCTGTAATCTTTACTCAGGGATATCATTCGGTCAGTATCGACAAATGGTGAGAGGTGATTTGGAGATCCCATGGAACTGTCATCAATGTGAGACTGCTGCTAACAATGGCCTTGGTAGATCTGAGTCAGACAGGGAAAGCAGTGAAAGTGACGATGCACCTTTAGAGTCAGATATGAGGAGATTATACTTGTAGAAGTTGAAATTGCTGAAATTCAAACTTATTTATATGTATGAATTAAAAATATGTGAACATTACTTGCAATTATCAAAGATTGCACATATTGTCATGTGTTTACAGATTTTTTGTTATTTGGCTTTTTGTTTGATTACACATATTGTAAAAATAGATGTGTAATAAAAACTTCATTATTTTTGTGGGGATTTATTGAATCATTATGCTTTGTTTTGTTTCCTGCACAGTTTGATGGGGTTCCCTTTAGATGTAAAATTATTTTACATCGTTTGTGAGAGATTAATAAAATTTCAGCCATTAGAAGATGCGAGACTTGTGTCTGTTTATTACAAATAAAACAATATGTGGTATACATGTAAATATAGATGAAATATAAATGAAATATAATTATGAATAAAATACATGGTACATGTAGAATGAGCAACATACCATAAAACAAATATATTATTTCTTTGTGTTCAGTCTCAGTAAGGGATACTTATTTACCTAAATACCATTGGAGACCATGGTTGGAGGGAGATAACTGTAGTTTAGATAGCAAGTCTTTACATCCTGGTAAAATGAAAAGAGGAAGAAAAAATCACGCAAAAGAGGTCATCATAGTTTACAAGATATAGACATAATATACAGAATTAGTTATATCTACACCCATAATAAAACATATAGGGTATGAAGAGTCATGGCATTGGGTGCGAAACCTCAGGATACCATCATGGCATCATTTAAACAGGATTTTTTTAATATAAATTTTCATGATAATTAATCTGTGAAATAAAAGTAACCTTACAACAACATACTGTTACAATTCGTTTCTGTTGTATTATGATATTTTTTTAGTTCTCTGTGCACAAATATTTATTGAGGGGAAATGATTTTAGGATTGAAACTTAGTTTCTCCTAATCCCAATTTTTCATCCTATTAAATAGAGTGCTTTCTTTATGTTGATGTAACAGATACCTGTCGAGTGCCCCAACTGGTATCAAACCCAGATCCCTGGGATAATAAACTACAAAAAAAAATTTCCTGCTGAGTGCTTGGACAGGAATAAAATCATAGTCTTTGGCAAGATAATACATGGCTCTACCAACTTAGCCAAAGAACCTCTGTCAACTGAGTGACATAAAATGAACTCGCTCCTTTTACATTTTACTAGGTTCTCTGAAATTGAAATTATTGTAAAGTTCTGACATGCATTCATAGATGATGTGTTCAGATATTAACAACCTGGCTAGGGTCAGTTTTAAGGTTTGATGAAGACACCAAAAAACGTGCATAAAACTTGGCAGGTGACATTATAACAGAACAGGTACATGATGAATATAATTCCAACATGTAGAAATGGAGATGGATAAATACAAATAAATGTAAGATATCTCGACATGGACAAGGATTCTTACATATATTCATATCTATACAATGGGCTACACATTTGTTCTTGGAAGTTCAATTTCTGGAAGCATAATAACAATAGTTAAAACAATGGAGTAATTTCACTGATCTAGTTACTATTCCTATTTTTTCAGATCAAAGAAAGACGTATACTTGAAAGAGTTAGCAAGAGATAATGCCCAGTTGCTTATAAATAGGATATTTCAGGTAAGAGTCAATATAAGGAAATAAATTAATGTTCACAAATTTTCAATTCATAGACATAAGGCTTAAAGAGATTTTACTTACCAGCGGTGACAGAGTTAAATACACTGCCAGAGAAATACCCTCATGTTCATTGTGTAAAAAAAGTATTTGGTATATCAGTGTCACTCTTGATAAAATCTAATATTTCTGACATTAGAGAGACAAAGTAAATCATTATTAATTGGAAATGATTTGATATTAATCAATTTTAATTGTTTTAGTTGCCAACAAAAAAGGAGGATGGAGTGTTAGTAGTTAAGGTAAGATATTATTTAGAAGTGGAGCATGACGGTTTTAAAGTAAGGCAATATCACTGGCTGGAGTTGCTGTGATCAAGGTAAGACAATATCACTGACTGGAGTTGCTGTGATCAAGGTAAGACAATATCAATGATTGGAGTTGCTGTGATCAAGGTAAGACAATTTCAATGATTGGAGTTGCTGTGATCAAGGTAAGACAATATCAATGATTGGAGTTGCTGTGATCAAGGTAAGACAATATCATTGATTGGAGTTGCTGTGATCTAGTTAAGACAATATCAATGATTGGAGTTGCTGTGATCTAGTTAAGACAATATCAATGATTGGAGTTGCTGTGATCTAGTTAAGTCAATATCAATGATTGGAGTTGCTGTGATCTAGTTAAGTCAATATCAGTGATTGGAGTTGCTGTGATCTAGTTAAGTCAATATCAGTGATTGGAGTTGCTGTGATCAAGGTAAGACAATATCAATTATTGGAGTTGCTGTGATCAAAGTAAAACATAGTAAATACAGAATTAATACAAAACAACTATAGCACCACAACCATAACAATACTACATATCTAATGTAAAAAAAACAATGAATTCTGTAGTTATGTTAAACAATATTTGGATATGGACTGATATAGATCACTAGTAAGTGGTTCAGCTTGTCAACCTTCCTGTTCCACCAAAATAGAAGGACCACGTTGTGTTTCCATGGTTTCCTCCCATATCTAACTCTCTCTACGTGCAGACCAAAAAGTCATTCATGATTGATATAAGATAAGATTAAAAAATGATGAATTTCCTTTGTACTGCTTTTGAATTGTTTGTGATGCTGAAATCAAATGTCATAATAGTGTTGTTCTATATTACAGTTACCTGACACCAAGGTCTTGGTTCCCAGAGGAAAACCAGTAAGTCGTTGCTCTGGTGATTTAATCTGGCTGTTTTAATTGTGTTCACTCATGCAAATCTTTTGGTGGACCAGAACTGGAAAGTGATGGTGTATCCGCATTCCTCACTATTCTTCATGTTTTGGTGTATCCATGTTCTGTCTCCTATCCAGAAAATCTCTCATTTTTTACATTCCTTATGTATTGTTAAAATTTACTTTAAAGCTATCAATGCACAATGTGTATGATTGCTAGAAATCACTATTTTTGATGTAGTACTATATCCTAGGATAGGTAATATCCAGTTACTTGATGGTTTTATAACTCAATCATTTGTCATAATTAGAATATTGATTTAAATCATTTATGATACTGGTTTCTAAAACCAAACTGGTAAATGATAATTCCAAAGGACCAAATTACTCCCAGTTTTGCTGAAGTCCTTTAATTACATGAGACTCTTTTGAGAGTTTTTTTATAGCAGACTACCTAAGTCAAGATTTGACCTTTTTCCTGCAAAGTTTTATGCTTAAGAACAGTAAATATTATGAAGAATTTAAATTAAAGTGAAATATGCTGCCTATAGGTATGATAAATTATATTCGTTTTCATTATTAAAGTCAACTTGAAACCTAATAAGTGACCTGCAATTTTTACTAGTTATTTCTCGCAATCATTTCTTGATACTCGTCTACAAATTTCCTATGCATTTAATCTCCATGGTTATCTGATTGTGTTATTTTTCAAAACAAAATAATATCAACACTAGCTTGTGGCAATTGACTACTACTCTTTTGTTTTTGTCCTTACTCTTCGTTTGCCCAGCATACAAGATGGTATCAAGCCTAAGCATAAAGATCTAACCAAACCTTAAATAATCTAATGACATTGGCTCTATTCCTTGATAAATAAAATATAATACTAATATCAGATTCAAACTAAATACTAAATCAGAAGAAGTGTCTCATAAGTCAGTTCTGTTTGGGTATCAGTTCTTTTAGTTTGAATTTATTTCATCTGTATAATATTATGTTTGAAATGCAAATTTTATCTAACATGACATGAGCTGTGATACACTTAAGTCAAATATATGTTTAATGGTTGAAATGTTCAACATCTATCAAGTTAATTCTTCTACCTATTCAATGTTTGTTGCCTATGTATGTCAGTACATGAAAACTTATATTATATAGATCCCAAAGGCCAAGCAAGTTACAAAATGGGAGGAGTATGCCCGAATGAAGGGAATACAGAACAGAAAGAGGAGCAAGATGGTGTGGGATGAACAGACAAAGGTCAGACTAACATAAATCATTCTTAGTTACTGTGCTGTGTATTCCATTATAGATCATAATAAATTACCAGGCTGTGTATTCCATTATAGATCATAATAAATTACCAGGCTGTGTATTCCATTATAGATCATAATAAATTACCAGGCTGTGTATTCCATTATAGATCATTATAAATTACCAGGCTGTGTACTCCATTATAGATCATTATAAATTACCAGGCTGTGTACTCCATTATAGATCATTATAAATTACCAGGCTGTGTACTCCATTATAGATCATTATAAATTACCAGGCTGTGTATTCCATTATAGATCATTATAAATTACCAGGCTGTGTACTCCATTATAGATCATTATAAATTACCAGGCTGTGTACTCCATTATAGATCATTATAAATTACCAGGCTGTGTACTCCATTATAGATCATTATAAATTACCAGGCTGTGTATTCCATTATAGATCATAATAAATTACCAGGCTGTGTATTCCATTATAGATCATTATAAATTACCAGGCTGTGTACTCCATTATAGATCATTATAAATTACCAGGCTGTGTACTCCATTATAGATCATTATAAATTACCAGGCTGTGTATTCCATTATAGATCATTATAAATTACCAGGCTGTGTACTCCATTATAGATCATTATAAATTACCACACTGTGTATTCCATTATAGATCATTATAAATTACCACACTGTAATATTATAGATCAAGCTTAATTACTAGACACTATATGCCATTCTAGATCACTATGAATTACCACAATATTTGATTTCAATTAATTATTGATTGAATAAATCAAAAGGATTTAAAAACAAGACATATGGCATATGTAAGTTATCTCCCTTGCTTCTGGATTACATAAAGTGAAACATTTGGAAATAATGAAAACATGAAAAAAACATGTACACACAACACAAATTAAAACACCTCTTTACACTTTTAACTTTTAACTAATATGTATGTGTTGAAACATGTAACTAATATGGAAAGAAAATAAACAAATAACTAAATTAATAATAAAAGAATAAACAAAATTAATAGTTTTTAGCCATAATTCATATGGGTCCTTTGTCACATAATTTCATATCTGTATAATTGCCTTATATATATACCTTTATTTTCAAAACTATTTGATGTGTATAAAAATGTGTTATAATTCATTTGTAATTGATATTAAAATAGATATATATACAAGTGAAGACTTTCATTATCAGTTGTAGAGTTTCAGGTCCTAATCATCTGTTGATAATGGAAAATAATATTTTTTTCTGAAATTTAACTAAGAGTATTTTACTGGACTTTTACAAAAGTCCGCAAACACATTAGAGAGAGAAAAGTTTGGTCTCCTATTGACTTAACTATTTATAACAACAGGAATGGAAGCCAAGATGGGGCTATAATAGAGCAGGCGATGACACCAAGGATTGGTGTATCGAAGTTCCCGACAATGCAGGTATGTCTGAGTGTAACAGAACCAAGGTATTGGTAGGGTAACTGAGCCCAGAGGAAAATATCTCGGTACAGTGTAACAGGATCAATGTATGGTTATGTAACTGAGTCTATAAAGGCAAAGGTCCTAATACAAATTCAAATTTTGGAATATTTCATGTAAAGTTTTTCTTAAGAGGTTGCAGGAAAATATTGTACATTCATTTTATTTTACTTCTAGCGATAAATCATTTATTTGTTACTAAAACAGTATTTCATATCATATTTTCACAATGAAACAATGATGAATGACTACTTCAGCTGACTTTAAAAATCAGGAAGGTGTTTTAGAAATTAATCATGCTATTGGTATATTGATGTTCACAATCATTCTTTATGTGATTTGAAATTTCACTGATGTTGTGTTTACCACAGATCCCTATGAAGACCAATTCGAAAAGAGGATGAAAGCCAAATCTGAACGAACAGCCAAAAATGAGCTACAGAGGCTGAGAAATATAGCCAGAGCACAGAAAACTAAAGGTAAGTTTCTTACAGGACAGTCAGAATGAGCTACTGAGGCTGAGAAATATAGCCAGAGCACAGAAAACTAAAGGTAAGTTTCTTACAGGACAGTCAGAATGAGCTACTGAGGCTGAGAAATATAGCCAGAGCACAGAAAACTAAAGGTAAGTTTCTTACAGGACAGTCGGAATAAACTACAGAGGCTGAGAAACATAGCCAGAGCACAGAAAACTAAAGGTAAGTTTCTTACAGGACAGTCGGAATAAACTACAGAGGCTGAGAAATATAGCCAGAGCACAGAAAACTAAAGGTAGGTGTCTGGTAGAGCTACAGAAGTTGAGAAAAATAGCCAGTGCTCTGAAAACAGATAGGAAACCCAAGAATGAGTTACATAGGCTGAGTAACATAACCAATTCACAAGTTTTGAAGAGAATCTGAGCCAATCTGTCCTGAACATGATGGGTCAATATGATATAGATAATTTTATTCATTCCCTCTATCTTGTTTTCCCATGTTATATCTAATGTGTCTGTCTGTCTCCACTTCTCATATTTGTGTTCATCCATGTTGATTCCTATTTGTCTTATTCATTCCACCTCTCCCATTTGTCTTATTCCTTCTACCTCTCCTTTTTGTCTAAAACCTTCCACCTCTCCCATTTGTCTTATTCCTTCTACCTCTCCTTTTTGTCTAAAACCTTCCACCTCTCCCATTTGTCTTATTCCTTCTACCTCTCCTTTTTGTCTAAAACCTTCCACCTCTCCCATTTGTCTTATTCCTTCTACCTCTCCTTTTTGTCTAAAACCTTCCACCTCTCCCATTTGTCTTATTCCTTCTACCTCTCCCATTTGTCTTATTCCTTCTACCTCTCCTTTTTGTCTAAAACCTTCCACCTCTCCCATTTGTCTTATTCCTTCTACCTCTCCTTTTTGTCTAAAACCTTCCACCTCTCCCATTTGTCTTATTCCTTCTACCTCTCCCATTTGTCTTATTCCTTCTACCTCTCCCATTTGTCTTATTCCTTCTACCTCTCCCATTTGTCTTATTCCTTCTACCTCTCCCATTTGTCTTATTCCTTCTACCTCTCCCATTTGTCTTATTCCTTCTACCTCTCCCATTTGTCTTATTCCTTCTACCTCTCCCATTTGTCTTATTCCTTCTACCTCTCCTTTTTGTCTAAAACCTTCCACCTCTCCCATTTGTCTTATTCCTTCTACCTCTCCCATTTGTCTTATTCCTTCTACCTCTCCTTTTTGTCTAAAACCTTCCACCTCTTCCATTTGTCTTATTCCTTCTACCTCTCCTTTTTGTCTAAAACCTTCCACCTCTCCCATTTGTCTTATTCCTTCTACCTCTCCTTTTTGTCTAAAACCTTCCACCTCTCCCATTGTCTTATTCCTTCTACCTCTCCTTTTTGTCTAAAACCTTCCACCTCTCCCATTTGTCTTATTCCTTCTACCTCTCCCATTTGTCTTATTCCTTCTACCTCTCCCATTTGTCTTATTCCTTCTACCTCTCCCATTTGTCTTATTCCTTCTACCTCTCCCATTTGTCTTATTCCTTCTACCTCTCCCATTTGTCTTATTCCTTCTACCTCTCCCATTTGTCTTATTCCTTCTACCTCTCCCATTTGTCTTATTCCTTCTACCTCTCCTTTTTGTCTAAAACCTTCCACCTCTCCCATTTGTCTTATTCCTTCTACCTCTCCCATTTGTCTTATTCCTTCTACCTCTCCTTTTTGTCTAAAACCTTCCATCTCTCCCATTTGTCTTATTCCTTCCACCTCTCCCATTTGTCTTATTCCTTCTACCTCTCCCATTTGTCTTATTCCTTCTACCTCTCCCATTTGTCTTATTCCTTCTACCTCTCCCATTTGTCTTATTCCTTCTACCTCTCCCATTTGTCTTATTCCTTCTACCTCTCCCATTTGTCTTATTCCTTCTACCTCTCCCATTTGTCTTATTCCTTCTACCTCTCCCATTTGTCTTATTCCTTCTACCTCTCCCATTTGTCTTATTCCTTCTACCTCTCCCATTTGTCTTATTCCTTCTACCTCTCCCATTTGTCTTATTCCTTCTACCTCTCCCATTTGTCTTATTCCTTCTACCTCTCCCATTTGTCTTATTCCTTCTACCTCTCCCATTTGTCTTATTCCTTCTACCTCTCCCATTTGTCTTATTCCTTCTACCTCTCCCATTTGTCTTATTCCTTCTACCTCTCCCATTTGTCTTATTCCTTCTACCTCTCCTTTTTGTCTAAAACCTTCCACCTCTCCCATTTGTCTTATTCCTTCTACCTCTCCCATTTGTCTTATTCCTTCTACCTCTCCCATTTGTCTTATTCCTTCTACCTCTCCCATTTGTCTTATTCCTTCTACCTCTCCCATTTGTCTTATTCCTTCTTCCTCTCCTTTTTGTCTAAAACCTTCCACCTCTCCCATTTGTCTTATTCCTTCTACCTCTCCCATTTGTCTTATTCCTTCTACCTCTCCCATTTGTCTTATTCCTTCTACCTCTCCCATTTGTCTTATTCCTTCTACCTCTCCCATTTGTCTTATTCCTTCTACCTCTCCTTTTTGTCTAAAACCTTCCACCTCTCCCATTTGTCTTATTCCTTCTACCTCTCCTTTTTGTCTAAAACCTTCCACCTCTCCCATTTGTCTTATTCCTTCTACCTCTCCTTTTTGTCTAAAACCTTCCACCTCTCCCATTTGTCTTATTCATTCAATCTTTCCTATTTGTCTTATCCCTTCTTTCACTGCTGTCTGTTTCATTTCGTCTACCTTTCCTATTTGTTTTATCCTGTCTACCTCTCCTATTCATCTGTTTCCCCAGTCTGACTTATTTGATGTCCTTTGCCTATAGTGTGAATGGGTTCTACTACTTTGCTGTTCATACACTACCTGTAATGTTAATGTGTTCTTCTACTTATCTGTCTGTACATTGCCTGTAATGTTAAGGGTTCTACATTCATATTTGTACACTGCCTGTCATGTTAATTGGTTCCCTACTTTCTTGTACACTGCCTGTCATGTTGATGGGTTCCCTACTTTCCTGTACACTGCCTGTCATGTTGATGGGTTCCCTACTTTCCTGTACACTGCCTGTCATGTTGATGGGTTCCCTACTTTCCTGTACACTGCCTGTCATGGTAATGGGTTCCCTGCTTTCCTGTACACTGCCTGTCATGTTGATGGGTTCCCTACTTTCCTGTACACTGCCTGTCATGTTGATGGGTTCCCTACTTTCCTGTACACTGCCTGTCATGTTGATGGGTTCCCTACTTTCCTGTACACTGCCTGTCATGTTGATGGGTTCCCTACTTTCCTGTACACTGCCTGTCATGTTGATGGGTTCCCTACTTTCCTGTACACTGCCTGTCATGGTAATGGGTTCCCTGCTTTCCTGTACACTGCCTGTCATGTTGATGGGTTCCCTACTTTTCAGTACACTGCCTTTGGTGTATATGGGTTCCCTACTTTTCTGTACACTGCCTGTGGTATATATGGATTCTACTTTCCTGTCTATTCAGTGCCTGGAGTAGGATTGACGCCCACAGAAACCCCATCCAAAGATCATGTCAGCAAGGCTTTAGCAGTAGCCAAGAGGTCAACAGCTTCAATTGGAAAATTCACGGAATCTCTTCCAAAGGAGAAAGCCTCAAAATACAGTGGCAAGAAACGAAAAGTAAGTTGTGTTCAGATGTCCTTCATGTTGACTGACATATTTGCTTCAAATATTACTACAGTTTTCAGATTTTCATGACTCAAAATCCTTTGTGTCAATATTTATACTTTAAACTTATATTTAAGTGTCATTGTTTTCATGAATATGGTGAATGTTTTGTAAACACTTGTTTTAACTATATTTTCAGTTATTAATTTCCATTAAACAATTTTGAATATTGCTGGTGTTAACCTGTACACATTGTATAACTTGAATGTAGCACAAATAGCTCCAATCTTGTTAAGGTAGAATAATTAATATTCATCAAAATTTTTAATATATGTCCATGTCTTTACTGAAAATTCAGCTAATCGTTGATCATGTTATTTTGTACAAACAAACAAAGGAATAATGGTGTACTGAAACAGTAAATGCCAATTAGTGGAGGTGCTATGTATGAAATGAGAAAACAATGCAAGCTTTTATTGATTATTGTGATTTTAATTTTCAGTTTGAAGAAAATTATGGGAGTTTGAAAAATGAGACTAAAAAACAGCTGGACATTTTACAGAAGCTAAAAAATAAGGAGCCTATTATAGACGTGACAAAAGCTGTCAACACACAGATGATGTCCGAGGAAAGTGGAAGGTAAAACATAAACCAAGTCTGAAGGTGTGTTAACTGACTAGGAAGGTATGTGTGGATTGACAGGGAAGGTGTGTGTGGATTGACAGGGAAGGTATGTGTGGATTGACAGGAAAGTGTGTGGATTGATGGGGAAGGTGTGTGTGGATTGACAGGGAAGGTATGTGTGGATTGGCAGGAAAGATGTGTGTGGATTGACAGGGAAAGTATGTGTGGGTTGACAGGGAAGGTGTGTGTGGATTGACAGGGAAGGTGTATGTGGATTGACAGGAAAGTGTGTTGATTGACAGGAAAATGTGTGGATTGACAGGGAAGGTGTGTGTGGATTGACAGGGAAGGTGTATGTGGATTGACAGGGAAGGTGTATGCGGATTGACAGGGAAGGTGTGTGGATTGACAGGAGAGTGTGTGGATTGATAGGGAAGGTGTGTGTAGATTGACAGGAAAGTGTGTGGATTGATAGGGAAGGTGTGTGTAGATTGACAGGAAAGTGTGTGGATTGACAGGGAAGGTGTGTGTAGATTGACAAGAAATTGTGTGTGTGGATTGACAGGAAAGGTGTGTGGACTGACTGGGAAGGTGTATTAACTGACTAGGAAGGTTTGTGTACTGCCTGGAAAGGTGTTTGGGATGGAATCTGAAGGTTTGTGAAACTTGGGTCAAAAGATTTGTGGAATGAGTTGGAAAGTTTGAGAATACGATTGGGAAGGTGTGTGAGGGAAAGTTTATGTGGCTGACTTAGAAGGTTTGGAGAACGAAAGTTTATGTGGCTGACTTAGATGGGAAGGTGTGTGAGGGAAAAGTTTATGTGGCTGACTTAGAAGGTTTGGAAACTTTATGTGGCAAAAGATTGTGTGGAATGAGTGAAAGTTTGTGGGAAGGTGTGTGAGGGAAAGTTTATGTGGCTGACTTAGAAGGTTTGGAGAACGCTTGGGTAGATGGGAAGGTGTGTGAGTTTGTGAAACCAAATGGGAAGGTGGGTCAAAAGATTTGTGGAATGAGTTGGAAAGTTTGAGAATACGATTGGGAAGGTGTGTGAGGGAAAGTTTATGTGGCTGACTTAGAAGGTTTGTGAAACTTGGGTCAAAAGATTTGTGGAATGAGTTGGAAAGTTTGAGAATACGATTGGGAAGGTGTGTGAGGGAAAGTTTATGTGGCTGACTTAGAAGGTTTGGAGAACCAAATGGGAAGGTGTGTGAGGGAAAGTTTATGTGGCTGACTTAGAAGGTTTGTGAAACTTGGGAAGGTGTGTGAGGGAAAGTTTATGTGGCTGATGAAGGTGTGGAGAAGTGTGTGAGGGAAAGTTTATGTGGCTGACTTAGAAGGTTTTGAGAACCAAATGGGAAGGTGTGTGAGGGAATGTTTATGTTGCTGACTTAGAAGGTTTGGAGAACCAAATGGGAAAAGTGTGTGTGAGGGAAAGTTTATGTGGCTGACTTAGAAGGTTTGGAGAACCAAATGGGAAGGTGTGTGAGGGAAAGTTTATGTGGCTGACTTAGAAGGTTTGGAGAACCAAATGGGAAGGTGTGTGAGGGAAAGTTTATGTGGCTGACTTAGAAGGTTTGTGGGAAAGAACCAAAGTTTGAGAACCAAATGGGAAGGTGTGTGAGGGAAAGTTTATGTGGCTGACTTAGAAGGTTTGTGAAACTGACTGAGTTGGAAGGTTTGGAGAACCAAATGGGAAGGTGTGTGAGGGAAAGTTTATGTGGCTGACTTAGAAGGTTTGGAGAACCAAATGGGAAGGTGTGTGAGGGAAAGTTTATGTGGCTGACTTAGAAGGTTTGGAGAACCAAATGGGAAGGTGTGTGAGGGAAAGTTTATGTGGCTGACTTAGAAGGTTTGGAGAACCAAATGGGAAGGTGTGTGAGGGAAAGTTTATGTGGCTGACTTAGAAGGTTTGGAGAACCAAATGGGAAGGTGTGTGAGGGAAAGTTTATGTGGCTGACTTAGAAGGTTTGGAGAACCAAATGGGAAGGTGTGTGAGGGAAAGTTTATGTGGCTGACTTAGAAGGTTTGGAGAACCAAATGGGAAGGTGTGTGAGGGAAAGTTTATGTGGCTGACTTAGAAGGTTTGGAGAACCAAATGGGAAGGTGTGTGAGGGAAAGTTTATGTGGCTGACTTAGAAGGTTTGGAGAACCAAATGGGAAGGTGTGTGAGGGAAAGTTTATGTGGCTGACTTAGAAGGTTTGGAGAACCAAATGGGAAGGTGTGTGAGGGAAAGTTTATGTGGCTGACTTAGAAGGTTTGGAGAACCAAATGGGAAGGTGTGTGAGGGAAAGTTTGTGATGTGGCTGACTTAGAAGGTTTGGAGAACCAAATGGGAAGGTGTGTGAGGGAAAGTTTATGTGGCTGACTTAGAAGGTTTGGAGAACCAAATGGGAAGGTGTGTGAGGGAAAGTTTATGTGGCTGACTTAGAAGGTTTGGAGAACCAAATGGGAAGGTGTGTGAGGGAAAGTTTATGTGGCTGACTTAGAATGATTTCAGAACCAAATCGGTGTGTGAGGGAAAGTTTATGTGGCTGACTTAGAAGGTTTGGAGAACCAAATGGGAAGGTGTGTGAGGGAAAGTTTATGTGGCTGACTTAGAAGGTTTGGAGAACCAAATGGGAAGGTGTGTGAGGGAAAGTTTATGTGGCTGACTTAGAAGGTTTGGAGAACCAAATGGGAAGGTGTGTGAGGGAAAGTTTATGTGGCTGACTTAGAAGGTTTGGAGAACCAAATGGGAAGGTGTGTGAGGGAAAGTTTATGTGGCTGACTTAGAAGGTTTGGAGAACCAAATGGGAAGGTGTGAGGGAAAGTTTATGTGGCTGACTTAGAAGGTTTGGAGAACCAAATGGGAAGGTGTGTGAGGGAAAGTTTATGTGGCTGACTTAGAAGGTTTGGAGAACCAAATGGGAAGGTGTGTGAGGGAAAGTTTATGTGGCTGACTTAGAAGGTTTGGAGAACCAAATGGGAAGGTGTGTGAGGGAAAGTTTATGTGGCTGACTTAGAAGGTTTGGAGAACCAAATGGGAAGGTGTGTGAGGGAAAGTTTATGTGGCTGACTTAGAAGGTTTGGAGAACCAAATGGGAAGGTGTGTGAGGGAAAGTTTATGTGGCTGACTTAGAAGGTTTGGAGAACCAAATGGGAAGGTGTGTGAGGGAAAGTTTATGTGGCTGACTTAGAAGGTTTGGAGAACCAAATGGGAAGGTGTGTGAGGGAAAGTTTATGTGGCTGACTTAGAAGGTTTGGAGAACCAAATGGGAAGGTGTGTGAGGGAAAGTTTATGTGGCTGACTTAGAAGGTTTGGAGAACCAAATGGGAAGGTGTGTGAGGGAAAGTTTATGTGGCTGACTTAGAAGGTTTGGAGAACCAAATGGGAAGGTGTGTGAGGGAAAGTTTATGTGGCTGACTTAGAAGGTTTGGAGAACCAAATGGGAAGGTGTGTGAGGGAAAGTTTATGTGGCTGACTTAGAAGGTTTGGAGAACCAAATGGGAAGGTGTGTGAGGGAAAGTTTATGTGGCTGACTTAGAAGGTTTGGAGAACCAAATGGGAAGGTGTGTGAGGGAAAGTTTATGTGGCTGACTTAGAAGGTTTGGAGAACCAAATGGGAAGGTGTGTGAGGGAAAGTTTATGTGGCTGACTTAGAAGGTTTGGAGAACCAAATGGGAAGGTGTGTGAGGGAAAGTTTATGTGGCTGACTTAGAAGGTTTGGAGAACCAAATGGGAAGGTGTGTGAGGGAAAGTTTATGTGGCTGACTTAGAAGGTTTGGAGAACCAAATGGGAAGGTGTGTGAGGGAAAGTTTATGTGGCTGACTTAGAAGGTTTGGAGAACCAAATGGGAAGGTGTGTGAGGGAAAGTTTATGTGGCTGACTTAGAAGGTTTGGAGAACCAAATGGGAAGGTGTGTGAGGGAAAGTTTATGTGGCTGACTTAGAAGGTTTGGAGAACCAAATGAGATAGTTTAGGATTAGCTGGGAAGATTTGTGGAATTCTTCGGGAAGGTTTGAGGGACTCGCTGGAAAGTTTTGTGTTGACTCACTGGAAAGTGACTCACTAAAAAGGTTAACCAGACAGACTGGTAACATTGGTAGATACAGATTGATTCTGATATTTCACATTTACTGTTTTTGTTACTGATTCCAAGTCACAGTATTAAGTTATTTATATTTTTAATACCTCCACAACAAAGTTAAGTGGACGGGGTTTTCACTGGAATCAATTTGCATGTCTGCAGACAAGCTTTGTCTGGCTATGCATTCATTCAGTTTTCAATGGATTTTATTTCAAATTTCTTGTGAATTGCCAGATTATATAAGGTTGTGCTCCCTGAAGTTATTTTACCCATTTTCTGTGAAATAATTAAAACACAATTTTGTACAGCTATGCATTCATTCCTTTTCCAATGGAATTTCTTCAAATTCATTTTATGTGCCAGTAGCATGATATTATGGAGTTGTATCCTCTGGAGTGATTCAGCATTTTCACCCCATTTAAAAGAGTATACCTCGTGATGTAAAAAATAGACTGTGGTTATGAATTCAGTCATTCTTCAGTGCATTTGTTTTACATTCTTCTCAAGGTGTCAATACAAAACTCTGTTTTCCTTCAAAGTGATTTTGCATAATGCATTTCAACCATTTATAGAGATTTTTACTCCTTTATTTGAAAAAAAACAGCAAAATTTTTATGTGAAGTGCCATTATCATATGGAGATTATCCCCATATATAGTATGTATAGTATTAGAAATTTTGCACTTTGACCCTTTTAGAAAGAACTATATCCTTTTACATAACAAATTTGTCTAAAATTTGCTAATTTTTAAATGGATTTTGTTTCAATATTTATGGTACACATTACTTTTTTGGCCTGAAGTATCTGTTCCACGCAGTTGTATATACTACTACTTCACAGCACTATGCCCCTATATGCAAATTATAAAACCAAAACTTTCCTGCTCCTTTACTACTATGTATTAAATGATGTAAGTTACGGCCTTTGCAAAGTGGGGTATTCTTGTCACCAACTCTATGACAGCTCTAGTGTTTCAACCAAATTTGAGATTCTGATCAGTATTTGACAACCTGAATAATTATGTATGAATGTCTGATATAAGAGACATGTCTGTTCAGGTAAATGTTTACTTGTTATTACAGTTCCGGCAAGAAACCTTCTAAAGGAAAAGCTAAAGGATTTGGAGGAAGGAAAAAGGGGAAAGGAGGAGCTAAGGGTTCATTTAAAGGAGGAAAAGGGTCATTTAAAGGAGGAAAGGGTTCATTTAAAGGAGGAAAAGGAGGAGGAGGAAAAAGGAAGAGATGATATCTGTTAAATGTGATAATTTTTCTGATAAATAAAGGAAACAAAAAGAAAATACATGGTTGTTGTATGTGTAGGTTTTCCAAGACTACCGGTTTCTGTTTTAGGATACTTTTCTGTGTTATTTGTCTTGCAGTGGTTAAATCTGTCAGCAATGAAGTTTTCATGCCAGGGATCCAAAACCAAGATAGTTCAACATTTAGGTCAAGGTCACCATTACTAACAATAGATTTTTAACTCAGTATTGCTAGCAATTTTAATTCTTCAGGAACTAGCACACTTAATCAAAATTTTATGGGAGAGCATATAGTTGCTGCTTTGTTCGTCGGTCTGTTCGTCTGTCTCTCTGTCTTTTCATGTCCAGAGATTAACTTTGCCTACAGTCAAGCAAGGATCATGACACTAAGTATATATTGGTCATACTTAGACAATAGACATGTAATAAGGGGATACAAATCGCTGGAATCTTTTACTTCTGTTTTATTTGGTTATCAGATTTGACTCCGGGGTTCAGTACCAATGGATCTCAAATCAAGGTAGTCAATAACAATGTCATGAATATTGGATTTTAAGTCTTGAACATCATTGTACAATGTGGTGCTGATATCTTTACTCTAAATCTAACAGTTATGTATATATGTGCTGAAGGCACTCTTTTTAAAAAACCCAAAGCAAACAAAACATGTTTCATCAGATTTAATCTATATACATTTGTACATTAACAATGAAGGTGAAATCAGAACATCACATTGCACTTGTTTTCCATCGTCATGTACATATTCCTTTGGGGATCATTCTGCTGAGCATATTTTCATGATTTACTGATGACTTTCATATTGCCAGCAGATATATACGGTATGTATTGTAGAATAATGAAAAATGAAAATGGTATTCTGCCCCTGCTAGGGCTCTATGTTACAACCACTTGTCCTCACAGTGGACACCTACCATTAGGCTAACGGGAAAATCCCACTAGCTGAAACAAGTTAGATGACCTATAGTCACAACTTTTACATTACTCCCTCCTTTACAAAGTCCTTATGATCGCAGACATCCTCAATCTAGGTTCTCATCAGTTTCAAAACAGACTCACAGTGGTTTGTAAGTGGAGCTGTAAAATTGACTCCCAGAATGGGATTTGACTCTATGACCCTCCAAACTTTAGATAGACACACTTCCAGTTGATCTATCTGACTGCAAATAATTGACCCAATCTAGATACACTTTATTTCTCCCTCCTTTTTCTTTGCCAGTGAGGACACAACTACATGTATTTACAACCCAGGATCAGATATTCGCTTTTCAAGCATTCACCTACTTGAAACAAGGGCTGGAGCACCAAATCTAATAGAAAAGAGTAATTGAAAATACCCTGCCCTAACTGGAGGGCCTGGACCTCTAGCTCTCTATGTGGAAACCCTATCACTTGGTTAAGGAAATATTCCCACTAGCCAAGACATGTAAGGTGACCTGAAATCTTTACTTTTACACTACCTCATACACTATATAATGGATGTGATATGTGGATTCTTCTCTCCAAAAATCCTCCTGTATCACAATTAATATGTGCCAATTTATAAACTCAGAACTAATAACAGTGTCATTGACTGGCAAACAAGAAATATATATATGTTGATGTTTGATAGAAATGAAGGATTTGAATGCAGATTTTCAAAGCTATATTTATCCTTGATACTTAAGGGGTTATGTTCACTGTCACATTCTGCAACTCTTTGACATGTCATGGCAAAATTGAAGTTTCCATGTGCGACACCTAGTGGACAAGACTAGTTTGATCCTTTGATGTACATCAAAAGAATTTATTTTTGAAGGTGGATGTTGCTCCTTCATAATCTTCAATAGAGCATGGCAGTCTGTGATTGGTATTTTTTTCTCGTGGAACTCACTCTACACCAATCAAATTATTTGGGCCTTCAATTTTGCTTTGATATGTTCCAAGGGTTCAGGGATCGCTAGTGACCATAACCCCTGGAGTATCAAGGATGGGCTTTGTTTAGCACAACTGATTATTACCTGAAAACCTGTGAGGAACAAATCACGGGTCACATGTATGTACCTTTCCACCAATTGTATGAAATTAGACTATATAATACAGGATAATATAGACATTGTTACCATAAGAAATATACTGATACAGACCTCCTCCACAGTAATGATTCTGTAGATTTGTATGGTGCTTCTGTATAAATAATTCTATAGATTGGTGTGGTGTTTTGTATAAAACATACATCACGTTTTCCTCCAAAGAAATCAGATTATGTCAGACAGGTCCACATGGACCAGCAGGTTCTAAGTAAATATTTCTGTACATCAGGACACTTCTCTTAGATAGTAGTTCTCCCACTAACATTTATAAAGGTTCAGTAGGAGTAAAACCTCCACCAATTATGTTGAGTTTCATAACTGTTTACATTCTAAGATCAGTATATATTTATAACTGGCGATACAATCATATTCCATTACATAAAATATAAAAATAGTAAACAAAAAAAAATAAAAGGCCATATGAAATATAAAATGAAAAGAATTGATTATAATATCAGAATTCATTTACCCTTTTTGTAAGTACTGAACATGCAAATTATTTTATGAATTACAGTCTATAAATCCACACTTACTAATTGATTAAATTTATTGATGTCATCACTCAATACTTGTATACTAAGAGCAACATAGTCACAAACATCATTATCAGTATGTTCTCTGATAGGAATTTAAAAACTGAAAACATTTAAATGGTAATTACTATAGTTTAGATTACGACAAAGCAAATAGAAGATAAACAAAAAACAAGTGTCATTACAGTATTATAGTGTGTGCATAGTACAGTAATTTGCACCAGGTATTCCTGATAGGGGAAGGTGTACCTGGTACTCATGACACAGGAAGTTGTATCATGTACTCTTGACACAGGAAGTTGTACCAGGTACTTGTGAGACAGGAAGTTGTATCATGTAATCCTTACACAGGAAGTTGTACTAGGTACTCGTAAGACAGGAAGTTGTACCATGTAATCCTGACACAGGAAGTTGTACCAGGTACTTGTAAGAAAGGACGTTGTACCATGTAATCCTGACACAGGAAGTTGTACCCGATACGTATGAGACAGGAAGTTGTACCATGTTATCCTGACAAGAAGATGTACCAGGTACTTGTAAGACAGGACATTTTACCATGTAGTCATGACACAGAAAGTTGTACCCGATACTTATGACACTGAAAGTTCTACTAGGTTCACTGGTTCATCCAAGGAAGGAAGTTGCACCATTCACACCTGATATATGAAATTGTACACGCAACATAGGAAGTTATACTATGTACAGAAAGTTGTATCTAATACAGGAAGTTGCATCAGATATACAGTTGTATCAAATACAGGAAGTTGTATTAGATACATATGACACAGAAGTTGCACACAATTCAACTGACACAGGGAGTTTTGTCAGGCACAGTTGATAAAGGAAGTTGTGTAAGAGACCTCTTTGATTTAGAAGCGAGTATTATCAGGGGCATACAAAACAGTTTCTGATATGGGCAGCTGTGCTAGAGAAACTTCAGACTGCCTTTGTTGAAGGATCTGTTTTTGTGTTTCTATCATTTCAGCTCCATTGTCTGAACCTGTAGGAATCAAGGTTGTCATGCCAGAGTTGACATTTGAATGTGTGGATCTTGATATTAGTTCATTATTGGGTAATCTATTAGTAGGGTCCTTTGTCTGCAAAGTGGACTCACTATTTTCAGTCAGTTTCATTTGTAACAGTTTAGGACTTAGGTTATCTACCACATAGTCCACAATTACATAGTTTCCATTGTCGTCATCTTCTGTGGATCTGGAGGAATTAGGTGGAATAGTGACAGAAGACTTGTGAGTGGACTGTGACCTCCACTGTAAATTATCTTGTGTCTGGCCTGGTGGAGCTTTGAGACGCACAATTGTTTTGGTACGCATTGTTGATGTATTTCCATTTTGTACGGTAACCTGAAATGAGATGACTTTTAACTTGCAACAACTTGATATGATTACATTGCTAACCACTGAAGTTGTTCCCCTTGATTCAAACTCTCGTGAGACAGGCAATATAATACAGCATGATTATAAATATAGATCTCACTTATTGCTTGGAAATGTTTGAAAGAGACTTTAGAACATTGACATAAGTGGTTATATATTATTTTGAAAGGACAGAATACTTACTCCGACTGAAGCTAAGTCAGTATCAATATTGACCGGTCTACAACACTACACCAACGTATCCATGGTAACACCAACTAATTCTATGTATCTATGGAAACACAAACTAAAACCAATATAGATAGTAACCCACACATGAGCTATGTACCCATTACGAACACTGTTTAAATCTATGTACCCATGATGATATTAACTAATGTTGTGTATCCATGGTAACTCAAACTAAAGTTGTGTATTTTCAATAACCCAAATTTTAGTTTTGTCTTCATGTAAACCCAAATTAAAGCTTTGTATCTATGGTGACCCCAAACAAAACGTATGCACCCATGGTAACCAAGCATAATTATGTATATATCGTATAGCTAACATAACTCAAGTTGTGTTTGTATTGTTAACACCACTACAGTGGCTTCTAAATACTTTCGATGACTAAATATCCGTAATAAGCTTCGATTTAGTTAATATTTCATATTTACCTTGTCTTCTGACTTGTCCTGTTTTTCCCTGTGAACAGATTTATTTTCGTCTTTTAAATTGTTAAACATTCTGGAAATCCATTCACCGCAATATTGACAAACTTAAGATACCCACGATATGTAATAACTATATTATTATAAAATTGCCGGGTATGAACCATTCTGATCTCCCAGAGTTACTGCCCTTTGTTTTACTCTGTCAGATGGCGATAAGCTTGACAGCCAATAGGTACAGTCATGATATATGATGGGTCTGGCATCATCTCAACATGGCTAGGTTTGCTCTAAAAACGTTTGTTCGTTAATCATCACATGTCGGTCTACTTCTTTTTGTAATTCACGAGCATATGATTTATTGATTTGTCAAAATTGATAGGATTTATTTACATAAAGTTAAATTTTCCTTCTCCATCTATCTATTACATACTGTACATGTGAATGACCACAATGACCACCTGTGCATCCAGTCAGTAACCAGGTATGTGTTATGACCAAAAATATTTGTTATTTCTAAGGCTACACTGTTAGATATTTATTTTAAATGTTTTCCTTCTGTACTTACTTACCACGTGTGAGTCTGCACCGGTTTACCTTCAACAGAAACAAATGGGAAATAGCTTTACACTGAAGTGTTCCCTCAATTAAATAATATTCATATCGAATGTTTTCATTTCCAAGTGTAACTATGAACAGATTCTATTGTCATAAACAAATAATAGTAAATATTTTATCTCTCGGGTGTAAGAAAAATATCTTTCAGTGTGACGAAAACATTCATATATTTATAAGAAGTTACCTTCAGCAGTAAATATAACGATAAAAACATATTTTTATACATGAATGTCCGCGCTCCTATTCAAGCTAGTAATACTGTGCGACAAATTCTTATAAGTTGTAACGACTTTGGGACCTTAAAGATCGTACAAAAGACACATAAGTGAATTATATCATTTAATACAAATTTAGAGTTAGACACAGTAGAGCCAAAGAAAGAATTTAATTGCATCATACAGCTTTTTCGTCCTTCTAGGTTTCGTCAGTGATGCTAAAGGACTAAATTTTAAACCTAGTAGACGACTGCGGAAATCCAAAGTGATCGAAAGAAATGTCAGAATCAAGATGTGGAGGTGCACTACTTCCATTATTCAGGAAACTATGTAGTTTAATTCTTCAAGAAAAAGAATATTGTGTCCCTGATTGCAGTATGGTTTTTGAACAGTTGTAGTGATTTTAGTCTTAACATGTAAACCGTTCAACCGAACTCATCCGAGGTACTGTCATAAAAGACAATCCGTTAGGAATTCTTCTGAAGTGATGTCAGTCAAATGGCCGACCTTTACATTGCACCCCAGAGAAGGCAGTTGACCTATATGTAAAGTTTTTAGAGAAATATCTTAATGGAACAGTGATATTGATCACTGACAAGGGCACAACCACATTCTCTCATCCTAACTACCCTATAACAAAACAAGCCAGTTCATCGTTTTGCAAGATCAAGAAATGTGTACGAATGTCCTCATTAGGGCAGTCAAGCATTGTATACGAATGTTCAGATACTGGATTCACTACCTTAACATGTGTCCCGTGCTATTACTTACGTTTTTTCGCTGTTGTTTCTTCCCGTGCTTTGTTGCGAAAATCAGCGTCTCGGATATTGTTAGGACTAAAGTGCTCCTGAATGACCTTTGGTCGGTATCGACCCAGACGAATTTGCGGGGAGTTATCGTCCATGCGGAGGAGCTCAAATTGTGGCGGTACTATCCTGTATGGAGGAAGAGTTCTAGAATTTCGCACATGATTTTGCGCCGACTGAGGACGAGATGATTGATATCCCGGGGGGTATCGCCTTGTGCTGCCCCCGGGCTGCTGTAGATACACATATTGCTGTGGTACCGCCTTCCTGTTAGATGGAGCGGACATTGGAGCGGGATTGTATGTCCGGGATCCTACGTTTGGTGGGAGAGGCGCTCTTTGTTTCTGTCGTGCTTGTTTCATGTTTTGGGGATCCTGTTTTTGTCTTTTTGAATCTTGCAGATTAGCGAAGTTCTGAACACGCTTTTTATTTAAGTGTTGTGCGAAGGGTATATGCTTTTCCGGAATAACCTCATTTTTAACGTTGGCAGTCGAACGCTTGAGGATGCTATTTAGGACTGGTTGCCCTCCGTCGTTGCTTTCTACCTTGTCTTCCTCACCACTCCTATACGCAGAAATGAATACAGTGTTGTATCTATACATCATTCAAGTACACTGCCACATAGTTAAATGGACAGCTGCGACCTTTGGCGATGGACAAACATTAAATAAAAATGCTAGAAAGGTCACAACATTTTATTGTTAAATCTATTTAAGGGTTTGTAAAAAAAAAAAAAGAACCAGAACAGACACGTGTACATTCTTACTTGGCTGCGCCTCTATTGAGGCATATATAGACATCAGAAAATTATTATTTTTTGGAAGATTGTGTAGAATGAATGTCTCTTGTTTATGAAGTTTTTAATACTAGACTCTTTTTGTTTCGACTATGTAGATTGTACCAGTACGTATTCATCGACGACATATTTAGAATATTATAAAAGATACATCAAAATCTAGTTACCTTTGTTGAAATCGATTTTTTTTCGAAAATGAAGTGATTGGAAAATAAGAGTATATAATTCTGTAAGGAAATACGATGAGTACAATCTAAAGGAACGTATGAAAGTTGATGAGGACTAACTTAAAAACTCAAACCTTATATGTTATGTGAGTTAGCGCTTCAATTTACTCACAATAGAGAACATATACAGTATAAAATGAAAATAGTTGTAACCATCCGTAGTTTGACTACCATAGAATTATGTCATAAATGTGGGTTCTTCTATCAAGACTCAATGACACATCTGGCGCTACAGTGTACTTTTACTTCCGAGCTGAGGGACCAATTATGGTGCTGTATAATTAATATCAATGATATACTGTCTATTTACATTCTCTCCCAGATCTTCAGATATTACACGTTGATTCGAGGAAATATAAACTACGAAATTGGCAGAGAAAAGTTGAATGAAACCCGGATAAAATCCGTCATTTATGTGTTCAAGATGTGTAAACTATATCAACATTAATATATGTAATAGTTATGTTTAAAAGTTAAATAATTACATACTTGAAAAAACACTTTTGAATGAGTCATCTGACAAATTTATTCTCCGCAATTATAGCTTAAGTGAAATAATAAATGTGTTAACTGTATATATTTGTAATGGTACATTATGACTACACATTGTCATGTATCAGTGTCAAGTACCACGTATATAAGCAATTTATTATAATTTACCTGCCTAGTGCAAAAGAAAAAAAAACCTGAATTTTGAATTTTTTGGGTATACACTAAAATACCTACTTTCGTTTATTTTGCATTTTATATGCACGTTCCTATCATATAAAGTGTATATTAATGTTATACATATTCTGTCATCATGTATATATATATGTGTATATATTGTACGCTTGATATTCTTTTGTAATTTTCATCACTAGAGGCATTAAAGAGAATATAAAGAGAACATGTACATTGTTACTACGGACCTAGATAGGAGATGTTATACATTGTTACTACAGAGCTGGTATATACTGTTACTACAGAGCTGGTATATACTGTTACTACGGACCTAGATCGGAGATGTTATACATTGTTACTACAGAGCTGGTATATACTGTTACTACAGAGCTGGTATATACTGTTACTACAGAGCTGGTATATACTGTTACTACAGAGCTGGTATATACTGTTACTACAGAGCTGGTGTATACTGTTACTACAGAGATGGTATATACTGTTACTACAGAGCTGGTATATACTGTTACTACAGAGCTGGTATATACTGTTACTAGAGACCTAGATCGGAGATGTTATACATTGTTACTACAGAGCTGGTATATACTGTTACTACAGAGCTGGTATATACTGTTACTACATAGCTGGTATATACTGTTACTACAGAGCTGGTACATACTGATATTTTTGTGAATACAAACCAGTGGACACGTAAGGGCTTCTTCGACATGTTTTGTTTCCTGTAAAAGAAAAGACGAAAATTTATTGATGACATCTAGACAGGTCTCCTATTGAACAATGTACCTCATGTCTACACATGACACAGGGTATAATAGTCTACGTTTTAGGGAGACCGAATTTTGTATGTAATAGATATAACTCCTATGACAATTAAACATATATGTTTTAAAGAGTTAGGGTCTTAACCAATAACTACGTACTGTGAAGTATGGCGGTAATGCAAAATGTGTTAGTTTTCTCCCACATGAAGTCTCACACACTATAAGCTGGTAGGTAAAGCTGATTTCCCAATTGTTGTAAAATGGTTTTTAGTGCACGGGTTAAGTGTTAAATGCAGCTTTCCAGTGCAATGCCAGTTTATACAGAAATGGGGGAATACTTTATGTGACTCATCACAGGCAACAAACAATGTCACTTGAAGAGTAGTTAGATATTTGAATAACAAAGCTATACATATATAGAAAAAATAAATGGAAACACACACATACACGCACGCAAAACCGCATACACACACCTACAAAGATTCCAAACTACAGATCAAACTGGAAAATGAAACGCTATAGTGAAATGAACTGTCAGCATTCTCAACACAGATGAAGTTGTTGATAAATTTCACTGTTTGCTTAAATGTTTTACGGAGATAAATATTTCTGATTAAATCAATTCAATAAGTAGATTCAGAAATGCCTTGAACAACGCAAGGAAACTTGTTCCGGAGGGTTCCGATGTAGATAGGGTATTATGGCGTCTTGGCACTGATGGCGTGACGTGTTATCGAAAACGAAGCACAACTGTCACTGCGATAACTGAGGTCAAAGCTGAACAGAAGGCTGATTTTTTGTACACGCATCGAACACGGTACGCGAGTTTAGTGTAAAGTGATACGGGCGTAACGATGACCTTCAAGCTTCCATACAATACTGGGTATGAATGTGTTCACGAAGCGTGGTACATTTAACTCCATCAAATTAAAACCTTTATTCAATCTATAAACATACCGAGATCCGAGAAAGTAATTTTGCTTTAATTTGTCATTGGAATTACTAAGTTTAAGCATATTTTATTTCGCAAGAGTGTATGTGGTAGACATTTTATGATCCGAACAGACATCTGTATAAACTGTCTTCAGTCACCTTTACTACCCAAAGTGGACCTCAGCCGTCCTTCGTCACTTTTCTTATCATCATGGACCTCAGCCCGTCCCCTGTCACTTTTCTTATCATCGTGGGCCTCAGCCGTCCTCCGTCACTTTTCTTATCATCATGGACCTCATTCGTCCATGTCACTTTTCTTATCATCGTGGACCTCAGCCGTCCTCCGTCACTTTTCTTATCATCATGGACCTCAGCCGTCCATGTCACTTTTCTTATCATCATGGACCTCAGCCGTCCTCCGTCACTTTTCTTATCATCATGGACCTCAGCCGTCCTCCGTCACTTTTCTTATCATCATGGACCTCAGCCGTCCATGTCACTTTTCTTATCATCATGGACCTCAGCCGTCCATGTCACTTTTCTTATAGTCATGGACCTCAGCCATCCTCCGTCACTTTTCTTATCATCGTGGACCTCAGCCGTCCATGTCACTTTTCTTATCATTGTGGGCCCTAGCCGTCCTCCGTCACTTTTCTTATCATCGTGGACCTCAGCCGTCCATGTCACTTTTCTTATCATGGACCTCAGCCGTCCATGTCACTTTTCTTATAGTCATGACCTCAGCCGTCCTCCGTCACTTTTCTTATCATCATGGACCTCAGCCGTCCTCCGTCACCTTTCTTATCATCATGAACCTCAGCCGTCCATGTCACCTTTCTTATCGTCATGGACCTCAGCCGTCCCCTGTCACTTTTCTTATCATCATGGACCTCAGCCGTCCCCTGTCACTTTTCTTATCATCATGGACCTCAGCCGTCCATGTCACCTTTCTTATCATCATGGACTTCAGCCGTCCTCCGTCACTTTTCTTATCATCATGGACCACAGCCGTCCTCCGTCACTTTTCTTATCATCATGGACCTCAGCCGTCCCCTGTCACTTTTCTTATCATGGACCTCAGCCGTCCATGTCACTTTTCTTATCATCATGGACCTCAGCCGTCCTCCGTCACTTTTCTTATCATTATGGACTTCACCCGTCCCCTGTCACTTTTCCTATCATCATGGACCTCAGCCGTCCTTCATCATTTTTCTTATCATTGTGGGCCTCAGCCGTCCTTCGTCACTTTTCTTATCATTGTGGACCTCAGCCGTCCTTCGTCACTTTTCTTATCATTGTGGGCCCTAGCCGTCCTTCGTCACTTTTCTTATCATTGTGGGCCACAGCCGCCCTACATCATTTTTTCTTATTATCATGGACCTCAGCCGTCACTTCGTCACTTTTCTTATCATTGTGGGCCACAGCCGCCCTACATCATTTTTTCTTATTATCATGGACCTCAGCCGTCCTTCGTCACTTTTCTTATCATTGTGGGCCTCAGCCGTCCTTCGTCACTTTTCTTATCATTGTGGGCCTCAGCCGTCCTTCGTCACTTTTCTTATCATTGTGGGCCTCAGCCGTCCTTCGTCACTTTTCTTATCATTGTGGGCCACAGCCGCCCTACATCATTTTTTCTTATCAAAGTGGACCTCGATATTTTATTATTCATCTCCACTTTACTTTTCTCGTCTCTTAACTGATTTGTTTATGTTATCAACACCGGTAGCAAAGACCTTATCAAGTCACTCACTCTCACATAGATATATTGATGATTTACTACCTTTAAACAACAATTTCTACAGAACATACATATCAGAGTTGGAAATCGCGGTCACAGCATTTCGTCTACACTACACCAGCTGCTTACCCCGATCTTTACATACAACGCAACCGACATGAAAAGCGTTGATGGAATCAATTTCCCTTAGCAAACATTTCTAGACTCAATGATCCCTCTGTGATGTTAAGGTGTCTCGAATGACTCGATACTAAGGATTTGTTCCAAATATCACGTGAAATGTACAACGCAGTATCGGGAAATGAAGGTTTATGGCGATAATGGAGAAGTTTTTTGTCGCCATCTCGTGTGCGATATGAAGCCCGTTATTTGTGTTTCTCGTCGACCAAGATTTACATGACGTCTGTCCTCGATGAAGCAGAAGAAGCTTACCCTTCCGGAGCTAATCGTATATCCCTGCACTTTT